GCAAAAGGTCCTGTATGCTCCGTGTTGACTGCAGAACGCGATCCTTCCACCCCTTTTATTCTCTTTATATGTCGAAAGTTTCCCCATACCATCAACATTCATTAGATATAAATATGCTGACGATGTTGTCTTGGGGTGTAGATTTCCCACCTCTGAGACGTCTACGCTTCAGTGTGGTTTAGACGAACTTGTGTGTTGGTCCTCAACCAGGTCCTTTAACCTTAATGCTTCGAAATGTACTGATGTAACATTTACATTTCTCCGCCCTGATAAGTTGCGAGTAATGTTAGATTCCTCTCCTCCATTAAGTTTGTAGGACAAAACCATTCCTATTTCATCCACTGTCAAATATTTCTGTGTCTATCTTTCGCAAAATCTCTCTTGGTCCGTGAACGTTTTGGAGACCTTTCACAAGATCAGAAGATTATATTTGTATGCTTTCCGACTTAAGAAGTTTTCCGTACCAAGAAGCTTAATTTTGAGATTTCTAACTGCATGTATACTACCCCACTGGTTGTACTGTTCCCCAGTAATCTTCGCTGGTCTACTGCAACAGGACTATGTCTTGGTTGTGCGATTGATCAAACATATTTCCAGATGTGGTGGCTTGCCGAGTGATTCTATAGTTGATTTTATTGCTCGTAAGCCTTTTGACGCTTGCATGAATTGTTCTTCTAAGGTCCTAACTGACAACTCTCACTCGCTACGTGATGTTCTCTCACAAACGTTATCTGTCTCTCACACGCTCAAAATGTGTGATTTTATTCGCTCGCATTTCTTCGCATCGTAACACAATATTGCCTTATTTGTCCCGCTTTCTTGTGGACCCTCTGAAAGTCACAAAGGCCTTACGCACGCGACGTTAAAATTGACAGCAGCAAGCAAGGTTACGGTGAATCAACCGCACGTCCTCAGTAGTTCAGGGGGTATTCAGAGACATCTCACACGGGTGCTTGCGACTGGACATGTCAACCTCAACCTACCATGAACCTATTGGTACACCGCACATTTCAACGCGCCATTATACATGCGTTGTGTAGATACTTTCGAGGACCTTATAAATCAGTACTCGTGATCGCATGCTATTTTAACGTGAAACCCATAGCGCTTTCAAATTCCTCCTTTAGGAAATGATGTTTCTCCACAGATCTCTCAATAGGGCCCTTAACTTTTTCAACTTACATCCAGCGGGCACAGACGCTCCTAAATGCCACGGTCCATTGAGCTACCAAACCCAAATCAGTCTTCCCACTGTGTTCATCTGTTATCATGTCTGCTTATTTTAGATTAATCACTTAATGAACAGCACGTATTTTTCAGGAGTGTTTGCACCCGTTGGATGCAACTTGAAAGTGTTAAGAACCATCTTGAGAGATAAGTTACATAGAGGAACATGATTTCCTTAAGGAGGAATTTGATAGCGCCATAGATTGAATTGCCTAAGAAATGGTATAGCACGGCTACCGTAGGCGGTGTGTCTCAACAGATTTGCATGTCACATTGTCTGCGAACAATCACGTGACGACTGTATCCAGTGAGGCTCTTGCTGCACCACACATAGCCCCACCCATACCCACCCCACCTCCACTGTGAACCCGAACGAACATTGTTAAGAAGTACCCCCTAAATCTAACACAACTTTTTCTAGGTCAGTGATACTCTTGCGACATGCACATCAGTGGTGCAACAGTTTCGGATGCATGTTTTTAATTATGTGCAAGGCAATGATAGCACTGTCGCCTGTCCCATGCTGGAGGGAAAATTGTCTTTCCGAACAGCGATCAGCAACCTCCTGGAGCGTTCAATTGAGGTGACACCAACAGATGTGTTGAAATCTTTTCGACACCGATGTCTATCATAGCCAGAGCGGACAAGTTGCTTTGGGCCAGATTCCATTCGTCAAACATCAGTTCTTAAAGTACAACTGGTCCCCTCCAGCAACGAGTGGCATTCCTAAACACTGTACATTCACCTCCGGCATTATCCGATGACCGGAATTCACCGGTGAGGCTACTTATCACTGCGCACGGAAGATTCCACTCCGATTTGGGACGAGAGATTATTAACCCAGTTGCTTAGCTCAGACAGCGATCTTTTGAACAATTTTTTGACCTTCCGCTTCTGCGGCTGCTGTCCCTGCTATTTGTTATTCAATACACATTTCTCCAGTTGGTGTGTACCTGTGGATGTTACTGTACAACCACGAGTACTATACTACACAAGGAGCTCTAAAGCATCCGGATTAGAACCTCTACGCCATCTTTTCTTGTCCACGTTGCTTCATGGCTATGGAAGCCTTTATTTTAACGCAACCCGCCTAGAATCACCCGAAATCACTTCAAGTCAAAACAAGCTTTATGTACCTCTAATGAGTACATTTTCAGCATTTACACCACCATTGCGGACACCTGGATGATAATAGCAATATACATGCTTGAGCAGAAAAGTGGGAACAAAGCAGAACTCTTATTCCAACAAGCGCTCACACATCATGTTAGTGACTTTCGCTTGGTCAACAGGCAAACGTGAGAGTTAAGGCAAAACAGTATTACGATACGATGACATACGGGAGAATAAAATTCTGAATTTCGAATCAGTAGAAGAGAAAGTGTGCGTTTTGGAAGGATCATTGTGAAGTGGATGATATCACTCAGTTAGTGTCTTAGAAGAAAAATCATTGTAGGTATCAAGATCTTTAGAAATGATCAAATCAATAAAGAATCTCCAGACAAGCCGCTGCATCTAGAAATGTGCTTTATAGATCGCACCATTAAGATGTAGTCTGTCTGAAGCAGTCTAAGGAAAATGACAGGAGAGCGGTATAGCCAATGGGGAATAATACAAGAGGTCACAGACCTGAATATTAGAGTACAAGGTTTTGAAATAATCTTAAGTCTGAAGGCATAAAAAGAAAATTTCCTGACTTTTTGAAAACTTTTACAGACGTGCATGGCTCAAGTAAGGTTATGGGATAAAAAACGCCGAGATACTTGACGGTGGAAGAGCTGGGTAGGAGGTTTTCATTCACAGTAAGTATGGGGGAGAAAGCTATGAGGGATTGCAACTTATCGTCACGTAGAAAAGAAAATATTACAGCCCTGCATTTAGAAGCATTAAGCCTAAGAGACCTGAATGAAAGCCATTCTACCAGATCTTCCAACCCACGTTGAAGTGATGAGGAATCTTGATTAGTGGGGGACATACATCCCAGCACAACATCATCAGCATACTTACACCCTATAGGGAGAGGTTCGACATACAAAGAAAATAGCAAAGGTGATAGGATCGTCCACGGTAGAACACCACAGTCGGCACGGAAGACAGAGGAGTTCTTACTGGTGCATTGCCAGTACGAAGTATCTAGCGTTCTACTGGTTCCCATAAACATAAACAAGTGACTTACCTTGATGGTAAACCACGTTTTTCACCAATGAATTTCGGCGTTTGTTGTGTTTTCGTCTGCCAATTTCATTCTCACATGTCTTCATATCCTTACTCCAATTCCAACACACATATCCTCGCTGTTTCAAGGACCCAAACAGGGCATTTATGTACGCTGAATTCCGCTTGCATCGTTTGATCCAATGGTAAAAGTTGTGCTCAACGGCTACCGCGGCTAGATTCGTCCAATTGGCTTTGGAGACGAATATTCACCCGCTACACTAAGTGGTCTGTTGGGACTCAAAGCACCTTGCGTTTAGCACTGTCAAATAGAAACTAACGAGCATAGGTCATCAGAGCATTTACGGATATGGTCTAGGAGAAGAGGTTTTACAGCGCAATTTCCCTGAAAGGGTTCTCGGGGTACGCCCAAGACGATCACGGATGCTCAAGACAGGTCGATAAAACTGTGAAAATGCTAGCCTACGCTTAGGCCTACTACGGAGCACGTTTGGCCGGTTCTATCCGACCTTTTTTCGCAAATGCTCAATCGTTTCGTGAGGCCGCATTTAGAATACGCCATCCATATGTGGTACCCTTGGCAAAAGTATAACCGCCGTTCTCGAGAATCTACCGCGGAGGGCGACTGAAAATGTTAACGGTTTACTCGACCTACCTTAGTAATTTGGTGGATAATATTGTACCTGCAAGGTGATTTCACACTGTTGAATCAGATCCTCAAGGGTCCTAATTACTCATGCCGACACTTATTGGAACAACCACACCATCTCACCGAGAGGACAGCTTTTGAAGTTGGCCACACAGTATAGCCAGTTGAAGTTCAGCCGGAAACTTTTCTCCAGCCGTGTATCCTAGCCGTGGAACTTACCTCCTCATTCTGTCAATCTCCGCCCCTACATTAGCTGAATTCAGGACTTGATTTGATAATTTTTACACTATTGACATTATCTGAGTTAACAAAGTTCACGAGACACGGTACAAAATAACCGAACTGTGTGTACATGTGAAAAGTGGGACGGGTTCATTGATACGCGTTGCTTTTTCTTGATAATTTCACTTTTTTGTCTCACCTCTTACTTGCCAACATTGTTAAATGTTTGCACTTTTATCCATAATAAATCTATAGTCCTTTTGCTCTTTCCGCTGACTTGATAGACGATGTCGTTTGCGTTGGCTAGGCCATGTCCTCTGTATGCCCGTTGGTCGGCTTCCTCGACGTGCATTATACACCGTGGGTGCACCAACTTGGGTGAAACCGCGAGGTGGCCAGAACATTGCATAGAAGCTCGAAGAAATTGACTGAGAGACTTGGTCAGGTTGGTGCGTGCCGTCTTCGTGGGTGGGGTCTTGAGATTGTCCACACGAGATGTTGGAGACCGTATCAGACATGGTACAGTCACGCAGTCAGTGGCGTTACTTACTGCATTCGGTTTCTTGCATCTAATTCTTACTTTTCATTCCCTTCTGCTTAGTTTAACGCACTTCCATCTCGCCCTAATTTTCCCTGCATTTGTTTGCACCCAACCACACTATTCTACCGTTGTTATTTATTAATTATTATTATTATTTATGTCATCCAGATCGTTTTCCTTTTTCAGCAACCGTGGCATGATGTATGCCCCAGCGTACTCCGACTACCCGGATGCTGACGCCGGGTATGTTGATGATGAGGATGAGGAGATACCGATGGCTGAGAGGGAACTTGCCGAGGACGCGGAGTGGAAAATTATTCAAAAGAACACATTCACTCGTTGGGCCAACGAACATTTGAAACCCAAGAATACCGCAGTGGATGACTTGCAATTTGATTTGGCCGATGGGCTCAAACTGATCGGGCTGGTGGAAGCGCTCTCTGGCCAACAGTTCAAACATGTGAATAAAAAACCAAGTTTCCGGACCCAAAAATTGGAAAATGTCACTATGGTTTTGCGATTTTTGGAAGAGAACGAAGGTCTCCGGCTGGTCAATATTGGTAAGTCAGTTGGCTTAGTACTACCGAATTTACTTCACCTCTAGCGAAGTTAGCAGCCTATCATGAGTCTTTATTTACAGGACAACGGTGAGGCTTGACCTTGCCCTTAAGACGTCAATCATATTCTGAGCTTTAATCATCAACGCCTACGGAGCGTAACCCATGTCTAGTGGCAGCCGCTTGTCCGCAATGGCGGCAGTCAAACCATTTCGTTAGCTTAACAAATAAGACTGAGTTAGTTAGGTTCACCTGGGCGCACGTTACTTATTCCAATTCACCGTCTGCTAAGAAAAGCGTGATTTTGTGTACCCGATGTTCGTGTGGGTGACCATGGACTTGTTTGTGGAAAGAGCACGGCTTGCCACTGCATTGGGTACTGTTGCCGCGCATCGTTTTCCAGGTTGGAGTCAAAATGAGCCACTATATACTTGGATCGTCGTGTTATAGAACATGTTTTGTGGCTGACAACAGTGGCGCCGTCTCTTCTTAGTCGGGCCGTTTGTTCAAAGTGTGTCTCCTCGTTTCCGCACCTCAAAGAACAATAGAAACGAACAGGAACAGGATTCTACTACGCATCGGAAAATCGCACTCCATAAGCATTGAGCCAGGTTAACTCGACCAAACACTAGGGACACAGCTGTCGAAAGCGATCAGAGCACCGAAAAGCACTCAACCTCGCAAGCAATTAAGCGGTGACTAATTTGTCCGCCAATCAGTTACGGTTAACAAACTGGTAGTGATAACGTTGAGGTCGTTGAATACTGTGGTCCACTTTTGTAAGCTGTGACAAGTACGAATCAGTGCTAAAATGATGGCATAGAACAAATACAACTAAATGGACACAGTAACATTGTTTTCAGTTACAATTTGTTGCAGAAAATGTGGCTGAATTTGCTGTTCCTTCATCCGTTGATGCTGAATTATCTGTTGGTTCCAAATTACGACACGGGGAGCGCAAGTCTTAAAGACGCTGTTTCGCTTATATACCACAAACGGGATTCAGTACTTTGTGATCGTCTGCGGATGGGTAGGCGTGGACTTTTTGTCCCGGAGCGCCTCCGTGGAGTGCTTGGGTTCTAGAGTCGACTCCCTTTGTTATCACCTAGCACCAAATTCGTACCCTTTAGTTACGGTTGCACGACTTTGAAGCCACTAGGCGAAACTCATGCACTGCCGTCGTTTTGATCTCAATGTGATCGTTCATTCTCAAAAGGAAACTCGGTAGCCAGTACTCTCTTTGTCAGGCCCACCAGTGCCGCGCACACCCCAAACACATAATGTTGAGACTCAACGTCTTGCAACACAAGGCTTGGTACCACCAGGTCACAAGAACTGGTGACGCACGTGACCATTAGGTAGGCGAAAGTGTTGTACTTGTGCTCAAGACATACCGACGCATGACCTTATAATGTTCGTGATCCGATTCACATGGGCCGAGATGGGCGAAAAATCTTCATTGGTTGAGAACTCACCACATCAGCTTCAATATCAGACAGTCTTCTACATGTCCGGTAAAGCACTAAACGGCCGTTTCGGTCTGTTGGGTTTGAAAGTTATTACGATGAGCTCTCCAAGAATTACATCCACAGTCGCCTACTCATGAGTACATGAAGATTATTCACATGTCTGTCTTTTACCTGTAAACATGCTCTAATCAATGTGTTGATCACCGCTTTCGAGTAAAGTCATAAAAGTGACTCAAAACACATGTCTATAGGATCTTGCTCACCTCGGTAATCAATGCAGTGAGTTAGTTTACCGTTTTTTCGTCATCATTTTGTTGTTGTCCCACAGACAGTACTGATATTGTGGACTGTCGGAGTAAACTCATTCTTGGTCTCATTTGGACTCTCATTCTGCACTACTCCATAACAATCCCTCTGTGGGAGGGTGAAGTTGACCACGGAGTAAGTTATCACTATATATGCATGCGACATTTCTGTTATCCATGGGGTTAAGATATGTAAGGAAAACAACTTATTTTGGGATACGACGCTTCTCATGGTGCGAGATGGAACATTCCTGGTTCATCTAAGTCAAACGAAGTGCCCATGGATCTTAACCGCGACTTTCTGATGGTCAAATTTAATATCCAAAATCGTGTCAAATTCAGGTTGTATCATACAGCTGCTTTACCAACCGTTGTAACCACACGTTGGTTTCAAGGTACAAGTGCCTTGAAAGTTGCTGTTTACTTCAAGCATTGCGGTTGTGTGCTAGAACCCCCTTCTCTACCTCCTATTATTCTTCATTTCTTAGATCATTGTGATTCAGCAGCAACGAAGCATTACTTCAAAGGGCTGATGTACTGATGTTGATGATGATGATGAGCAGTTTCAAACAAGCAGGATATGATGCATTTTTCTTAATCAAACTCGTAAGTATTTGAACCTAAATTAGGAACGGTCGTTGCTGTGAGCGGGGCTTTCCATTATGTTGTGGAAAAAATTATTACAGTCCGATAGGATAGTGAATCCACGGCAAGCTATGTCGCACATCCTACAGATCCTGGAACCTTTAGATGACCCACTGGATGGGTTTCTCCATCAGTTACGGTGAAGCTCGCAGCTGAACAAGACAAACAGATAGTGGTTCTATGGTCACACCTAGTGTATGAACGTATGAATGTGGGTTTTCGGCATATTTATATCGGGTTGCACGAATGAATTCTTTTGTCCATTCTGTCTAATTTTGCTTCTCTACATCTTTCTTGTGGATTTTGAGGTCGGAAACCGCCTCTATCATTTTGCATGCCCGATAGCACGATTTGGTTGGCGAGTCCACCAAACTGAAAAGTACCAACGCTTTGCAACCGGGTCTCTTCGAGGCCATTCTGCACGCCTCGCTAGAAGACAGAAATTGATTAGTGCGCCTTGCTCAAACAGTTTCACTTACCCACCATGGAGGTCTGTGCCTGACTTCATTTGTGAGGTATGCGTGGTGTTACGTGGTTACTTGTGGTGTCGGTTTGAGTTGAGTTGTGAAGCACCACTTATGTTCATTTACTCGGATTTGGACACATCATAAGCTTACCTGGATGATTCGTAATTTACCTCATAATTTGTTTCATTTAAATCGCGCTCCAAGCAAGGACAAGGTCCCACACCGAAACAGCGGCTTCTCTCGTGGTTGAACAACAAACTTGCCGACCGGCCTGTGAAGAACTTCACCACCGATTGGAATGACGGGACGGCGATAGGTGCTTTGGTAGACGCCTGTGCCCCCGGTCTCTGTCCCGACTGGAGGCAATGGGAACCGAAACAAAATCTGCGTAACGCGCGGGAGGCAATGAATGCGGCTGAGCAGTGGCTAGACGTTCCACAACTTATTCGACCGGAAGAGATGATCAATCCCCGAGTGGATGAAAAGGCCATGATGACGTATTTGAGTCAGTTCCCAAGCGCGAAACTCAAAGAGGGTGCTCCACTTCGACCAAAGTCTACCCCAGAACTCGTGCGCGCCTACGGACCTGGTAAGTTTGCTTCCGGTGGGATGGGAGACAAAACGGGTTCTTTTGCTTCGACTCTTTGTACACTAAACGCATGGTATAGGTAGCGACGATCGTGATTTGCCTTCCCGTCCTGTTGACCCGTTCTTGTAGTGCTACCGTCGACCCTATACATGTGAGCTATAAGAATCTTGACAATTCAAGCGTCGCATAACTTTCTCAGTGGCGCACGTTTAAGGCTGTTAGTTCAAGCAAATCCATCTGACTTTTGGTCGATTTCGCCCACAGACAATCGTAACTTTTAGGCCGTGTTCCTGCCATTGATCGATAAAAATTGGAAATCGGTCGGTTCACTTTTTTTAATTTCGTTACAGGGAAACAAGACGAAATTCGATTATGAATGTACAAGACACTGTCCCTTTAGTGCAGCTAGGAAGTCGGTAATATATATGGTTGGCGGCATCCGGTTTCGGATTTGCCTGTTACTGTGGCCAGCCGCAAGACGCCTGCGCCTACAGAGGGACCATGGATGGCTTGCACTGCACCACCCACAGCTCCAACCACATATCCCATATCCAGTGTAAACCCGAAGTAATAAGACCGGGAAGCATGTGGATGGGAGCCAGGTTGCATCAACGGAGCTGGCCCACACTTCTTCACAGGCAAACACACGTACGATGTATTTGGGAATCAAGTGCACACAAGGCGGTGGCTGGACCGTAGTCCGCTCCACACTGAGTGCATAGAGCCACTCTTCGAGCCTAGCATGACCAGAAGGACCGTGCACTCTGTCCCCTCCAGCAACGACCAACCGTCTCCTGGAGCCAGTAGGGACGAGGTAGTGGGTAATAGTCAGGTAGGCACCTTGTCAACATGCACATCAAGCGCACCCACACCTGAGTTGTCACACAACAGCCAATCATTCGATATCCCGATATCAAATAAAAGAATATATATACGTATATATAACAGAAATTTTTATACTTCGTATATGAAAATTCGAAAATGTATGTTGTGAGCTGTTTCAACCATTTCGCACATTCTGATCGATCACAATCATGCAACCAACAATATTAAAAATATACCTAATCGCTTGCTGGTCAACCGGTGGCCAGTGCGTGCGCCTCACAACACCACGTTAACTTGATTGTCACAGTCACGTGCTTCTGTGAAAGAGGCGGCCTTCCCTAACAATCGATAAAAGCGGACTGAGTATGTGAGACTTCTGCTTGCGCATCAGGACGCGGATTGGTAGCCGTGTTCAGTACATGCCTTGTGATTGCTGAATTTCCTCGGCTTCTCGATTTGTGCTATTCAGTCGTCAAAGTGAATTTGGAGCTTTCCCCTACTCCAATGAGGAAACCTCAACGGAACCGGGTCAGTTGGCACTGTTTGCGTCAGTTCGCATGAGTCTGCGGAGCTACGTACACGGAAAGACTTGTAGAGCATTCATTCCGCTAATAAGTATGATCGTTGTCACCTGCACAACGAGCTTCTTTGTTGGATAAGCTTTTATGCATTCGAGTGTTGCTCCGACGCTCCGGGTTTAATCAATACTTTCCCCTTACGCAACTTTTACCTTGGGTTTTAAGTCGCTAATGTAATTAGGTGTACGTACACACACACAGTATTGTCGGTATTGTTAATGAGGCTAACGAGACAATACGAAATAATACAACTATCACCGCAGCTTCTGTCTTGAACAGCCGAAGCTATCCCTGTTATTCGTGCGTATTGTTGTCGATGACAACAGAGTCAGTGATGTTCCCATTTACAATCTAGTTTCCTCTTTGCTCAACGTGCTTCACCGGCCGGTGGGCAGCTACACACCACCGCAACAAACCAACCGACTCAGATTAAAATGGATGGGTGGGGTGGAGGCGAGGACCATGGATGTAGCTAGATCTCCCGCACACAGACTCACACAGCTCCATCCGTGGATGATAACTTGAATCGGGTGCGCGTAACACGTTTGTTCCTGTCCCTTGTCGATGAGTGTCCGTCGCTGATTCGACTCTCCCAAACAGACCAATCATGAGACAACAACAACAGGTGTTATATGGATGGGCGAGAAACCAAGCCTAGTTACCGTGTCATAGCCATCAGTTTTGCTCTAGGCAATATTGCTCCGGGAATCCACGCATCAGCTGGGATTAATGTCCAAGTTAACCACATCACCAGAGCAAGGCACACACATCGATAATCGACTCTGGTGGGCAAGCGATAGTTATCATGTCACCACACTTAGAGGCAACCGATAGTAGCAATGAATGTCGGATTTCAATACTTGATCGAAGTGGACGTGGATCACACACTGCTCGCCGCTGCAATCCTACCCCCAGTGGATTTAACTAATAATCCCCTGTCAAAGTCCCCCAACACATTCGCCACATCCGCGGAATTACTGCAGAAAGCACAAGTCAAGCGGTCCGCGAACCCTGTTGCCACCGCCGTTGCTGCCGGTGGTGGCGGTGAGGCCAGACAGGGTCTCGGAGTGCTCTACGCCTTGGGACGGCAAACACTATCTTGCTACTTGTTCTTCTTCGGACACAAGATGAGCGCACAAAAAGTGCGGACCACTAAACCATCGGGACGCCCCAATACAACCAGCGCCTCACAAAAGGCTTCAAAAGGTGAGCGTTAGGTATTGTGTTGTGGAAGGGTTGAGGACGATGCATCTGTTTCCATCTTGTGTATCCTGTGAGGTTTGCTTGGGGGCACTTATGTGTTTGATAAGGGTGTCGACTTTGTTTGTGTCCGGTACAGCAGTTGTATATCTTGTCCTGCCGCTTTGATTTAGTTGAATCTGACTCGACTCAGAAACTCATTCGTTCGCATTTGTATTGGTTCACTTCCACGAGAAACACACATTATTACTACCACCTAAACTTTCAGAGGTGATTCCAGTCGCCATGCCGACTAAGGTTTAATGCACTTCAGTAAGGAATTGCGATTAGCCATACAGTGCACTTTTCGAGTTTGGGTTACTTGTTACTGAGCTCCTGTTTACATTATTCTGATAATCCGGTTGCATACAAACGCGACCTGATTAAAACTCTACTAAAGCATAGGGATGTTAAAGGGTAAGGAAAGTCCTTGCCTAGGACTTTTCTATCAAACATTGGCTGCTCGAAAAGAAGTCTGTCTGAATTCACGACAGACCCTCGGAGAACAAGTCTCTGGTCATATGCCCCAAGCTAGCTTTAACGTGCTTACTTGTAAATCATTCACGCCATAGGAATGCTTGTTCTCTATAATCGCCGGAACAGCTCACCGGCGTCTTGTAGTATACAACAGTTTACGTTTACAAACAAGAACTACCTGTGGGTTGCCTCAAAGTATTCAGTTCACTTCAGTTCAATTAAAGGGTTATGATCCTGGCATTGATGCGCGGTGGATCTAATTGCCACGACTCTCGTCGCCGGTCCCTAACAATGAGTGGGAATTTGAGGTGACACTCAAACCGAACACAAATAAAAGTGGGTTAAGAAAAATGAGTAAAATTATTCGGGAAGGAATTGCGTATGAAACCGAATTCAGGAGCGACACTCCAAAACACTCGCTCGACAACACGAACAGACTGTGCGGCAACGGATTACGCCTGCTTTGGACACTTAGACGCAGCTTCTGTACTTGGTCTGAAGAGATCGCCATTCGCCTGTTCTCTTCATTGATAAGACCGGGGCTTGAGTACTGCTCACCCGCCTATTGTCCGATCACAATAAGTGAGGTGCAGCAGAGACTGGAACGGGGTATGTCGTACGAGGACCGATGTAGGAGACTTTGGCTTTATGCCTTGTCATATCGTCGGCTTCGAGTAGGTTTCATAGTGACGCACCGGATATTGCACCTGGGCCCCTTCCCTATGTTGAGGCTGCTGATGCACGTTCACGCATCAAGCATCACCCGCGAGCACCGGTACAAACGGGTGGCACCGGATTTGAAGCGCTCAGTTACCCACAACATTTCGACGGTCGAGTGGTGAAATAGTAGAATAAGTTGTCAGAAATGCTGGCCAACGGGGGAATCGGTGACGGAATTTAAGCGCTTCTTCGACAGCCACTTTGCGGATTACAGATATAGGGAGCGTATCGCATCCGGATAAGGTGTAGTGCAGCTGTAGTAGGCTGCCACCACGCAGCATCAGCGAGGTGATTCTGTGCATATGCCCGATCTAACTATGACGGAGCAACACAGGTTTATATCTTCTCGCTCTTTAATTTCGGTATACAGTTTTCAGGGGGTAACTGGGCACCTCCCCCACTGTGTTTAAGACAATCGCTATTGCATTGTAACGGAGCGGCTCTTAAGCTAAACAAGTACTGTTGCTTCATGTGTTACCTCCTGAACACTTGTCATCATGTGAACTCGGTGAGCACAATTAGTACGTAATAACGGAATTAAGCAAAGCACGCCTCCAGACTGTAGTCAGGCAGGACAAGCAACACTAAGGAACTGAGTTTCTCGGACCAATTTTTACCCATGAATCACCTGACACGCGATTAAAAACATAACTTGAAGGCTTATTGGTTTGTCAATGCGAGGCAAACCAATAAGAAAGCGATGTGGATGCGTTGGACAAATCAATGTCATCGACGCACCTAGCATCCCCTCCGCTCTCGGAGAAGTTCATACTCTGGAAACGAAACGTTCAACAGGTTTAAGTGCACGCTGAGATGGGCGAATCGGTGGTGGTGAATTGATTTGGATACAGTTTCTCCATCTTTTCTTGTTTCCATACAACGCGAAGGTATATGATCTGAATGCCGCCTCAAGACACGACCATTTAACGTTAGGTCAGCCTGGGTACCCTCATTTGTGACTACGGTTGCGGGCTGCCATAATTGCTCGTAGATAAATTGTGTATACGTGGGGTCCCCCGGTTGGAAAACTACATCGTGATCCTTCTCCAATGTAGCCGCCATGTTTTGTTTCGCTCCTATTTGCGCCTGACGATTAGGTAATAATAGGTGTAATCTAGTACAAAGTGTTCTACCGAACATCAGTTCTGCGGGGGATTTAAC